AAAATTAATGAGTAGGTATTTTTTCTACGGAGTACTATTCTTAAGTTTTATTCAGTTTAGATGTGAATTTACGCTTAGTAATTAATCTGTTTTATGATTATTATTTTTTATTAATAATAACCTTGACGATAATCGTCCATTCAATATAAAAAAAATGAGTAGATTTTATCTTTCATTGACTACCATCCTTAGTTTTAATTCTGTTTAGATGCGGATTTACGCTTAGTAATTACAAAAATTAGTTTTATGAATTTTCTTGTACTAAAATTTTCTTTTGTTGATAACATTGGCGATTGTCACTCATTTATATAAACCAATGAAAAGATTTTATGTTTTACATAATATGATCCAATCATTAATTTTACTTCAATTTAAATGTGGATTCACGCTTAATACTTAAATTTGTTTTTTTCTCCAACTTATTTAAAATTCAACAAATATCATGAATCGTTTTCTTATTTATGAAATCGAGCTACACATAAAAAAGACTGAAAATGAAGAGTAGTGAATTGCGAGTGTTGCTCCTTAATTATATATTTTTTTTAACTATAAAAGATAAGTAAATAATCACAATTCAAATAATAACAAATAAGATAAAGCTAGTATTATTTTTCTTCCATCAAATAAGCTAGTAGTTTTAATTACATAAATAACATAAGAGTCTACAATCGAAAATAATTTAATTAAGAACCTACAACCCAAGCAAGCAAGAAATGTTGTGATCTGATATGATTGTCACGTCCTTTTATTATTTCATCCTTTTTATTAGATAATTATCTTCACGCTTTGTTTGCCTTTATAATAAAACAAATTTGCACATGATCAGCTTGATCGAGAAAACATCTCTTTCATGTGTGGTGTCTAAAGACATGATCCAAATAAGTTGTAACTTTTGGTTAAAGACAATTAGGAAAAGATTAAAAATTAATCACACTAAGCATGCTGTTAAACTTAAGGACTTGGATAATAACGTGACACAAAAAAGTTTTGTTATACCAAATAAATAAAAGTTGGCGTTACTATCTAATCACAAATCAAATGATATTCTTAAATCTTAACGCCAAAGAAAAAGTAGCCTTTCCGACATCAATTTGAATTTATTCAAGTCTCAATGCAAATACTAACTAATTTGAATTTATATACCTTTAAAATGTTAACATGTAATAAGTAGTTATGAATGACTAGTTTCGATTCCTTAAGGTTATAACGAGCCGTAATGGTTGTTGAAAAACCCCGTACAACTTTTTATTGGGAATGTATCACAAAAAGGATTCTTCCATGATTAAGAAAGATCACATAATATATGTAGAACACTATATAGGACGTGAATTGTCACATACGATACATCTGTTTACTTGTTCAACTATATATATATATATAAATATAAATTTACATATCTACTTGTGCGTAAACTCAAAATGAAAGGATATATATAAATGCTATCAAATCTTTTGTGTGTTTTACTTTTAGCAAGTTTAAAGGTCAAGGAAGACAGAAATAGAAAGTAGAATTAACTTTGCTTACAACTTCTGAACAAAGAAATTGTATATATGTATATATATGCATATATATGTATATGTATATATATTTATGTGTGTGTTATCAAATCACACAACTTGATACTTTATGTACTTTTCGAAAAGATTCTGACTTATTTGAAAATTAGATTTGTTGTGCTTGTCGTTTTTTTTAAAAAGAATTTTGATTTTAGAAAAAATTGATGTTTTGTTAATTCGTGAATTTCTTAGAAGACAAAAAACGAAGTAATCATGGCAATTAAAAGAAAATCTCAAAGAACAAATATTCTCATTCTCAAAAGTAGAGATTGACAAATTGCCTGATTGAGAACACGTCTGAAGCTGAGGCGACCGCCGCCTACCTACTTGTGGTTTTTTAAGATCAAATTTGATGATAATTTTTCACTCATATCTTTCTAGACTTTACTAGAGTACTTGGATAAGTGATCTTCGAGGGCATATTTGGCATGAACCATCTTCCAAGTTCCAAGTACTCAACAATAAGAACATGAATAATTGTGGTTGTGAACCATAAAACTCGATTAGCTTTTTGAATCGAATAACTTACCATTAGCGTAAAATATTAAGACATTATTTTCGTAACAAGAGATGAACCAATTTATCAATTTGACTTCTAAAACGAAAAAAAAAAACATTTGAGGAGGATTCCCTTTTGTGACATTCCTTTCCAAAATAGCAAATTAAGATCTGACATAATCTTTATTATCAAAAAATAAATCGATACACTTGAAATTCAAACACCGTCATATTGAATTAAAAGGAATGTGAAATTAATTCATTAAGCTTCGGAAACAATTGCAACATCACAACTTTGGAAAAAAAAAAAAATCACATAAAAAGAAACACAAGTTCACACCATCTCCTGTGAAATCTAAAGTCATAAATTGAGACAGAAAAGATAGAAAAAAAAAACTCCAATTATTACCATATAAGGTAAATAAATTAATTTAGTGTCCACCACCAATGCCAAGACCTTTACCACCAAGCAAACCGCCACCGAGTCCCATGCCACCATTTATATCATGGCCAAGACTTCCACCAATACCGATTCCTAAGCCACCTAAGCCATCACCACCACCACCACCTACGCCGCTTGCCCCGAGCATGCGCCGCCCTAACACGTCAGCAGAAACCATAATGCCACTAAAAAGAACAATTAAGAGAACTATTCCAATAATACGAGCGGATGAAATACCCATTATATCTATTAATTGTAACTTTAAATCAAATGTATGGACCAAAATATTTTTGAAAAATAGAAGAAAAAGAATGAGCAAATAGTGAGATATATGAGAATGTAGTTCTATGGACAAGTATATATAGTGTTAAATTGGTTTGTTTTTTATTCAATAGTTGATTAAAATATTGAGCATGTGTTAGGAGTAGTGAAATTTATAATTGTGAATGATAAGATGATCACTTCCATGATCTTAACCAAATATTCTTCTATATTAGCTTATTAGGATCCATAAATCTATTATTTTAATGATTTGAAAAATGATAGGATCATTAGGAATAATTAAGCAACGCACGATTGTAATTTTTTTTTTAAAAATGTATTATTTTTTTTTACTCATAGTGGCTTTCCATGAACTATATTAGAGCTGGTTGTATTTCCCCCTCCCCCTTCCCAAAGAAGGATTTCCGATGCGAGTTTGATTAAGTCGAGACCTCTAGAGATATCGGACACTGGAAATGAGAGATAAAGAAAAAGGCGTGATAGAACAATATGATATAAATCTTAAAAGAGAAGTTGATGAATGATGTAAATGTCAATTGACGATTGTCTCGATATGGTTTGAGGAAAAAAGTATTAGTAGTTTAGCAACCCTAGGAATATAGTAGAACGGGTCGGGCACTAATAGATTCGTCAAAATAGGTTTAGTCTGCAAGACCAGCTCAATCAACCTTGAACCTACTAGTTACGTGTGTTGCGCTAAGATTTTTTTTTTCAACCTACTTAAAAAATTTGAAGTGTTTTAGCAAATAAATGAAAGACGGTAAAAGAATTAAATAATACTTCTTTCTTTTCCAATCATTTCGAAAAGACAGGCACTCAAAAAGGTTTTAGAGATTAATTCTCATGAATTGTTCTTTTTTAGTTGCGTATGTGTGGGTGGGGGTGGAAGGGGGGAGCAAGATTAAGTCAAGTCATTAATAGAGTAAGCCCTTTTCACACGGTGTCAAGTTAAATATATGAATAAATGAAAGCCCTCAATTGGGGAGATCAATCTGTGCCTTTTAGGTTAGGCAGTTGACGATACAGAACGAACTAATCCTCAACCATATTCAAGCTTTTAATTTAGCGATCTCATGCGGAAAAATATGAGAAATACATGAAATATCAATTATATGCTATGAAATTTGTTTGGATGGTTGTTATAGGAATCAAACGATTTTCTCAAATTTTTGTGTTGCATGAATTTTTGTGATATGGATTTCGTGTGCCTTTTTTGTAAAAACTATACAGGACCCTCTGTATGGCCTGGAGGAACAATATATATAGTCTCACCCATGATCCACACCACTTTTTAGCATTTTGCGGTCACTCAACAAGAATTAAGTGATTTTCTCAATTTTTCATGTGTGTGTTAGTACATGAATTTCTGGTGGTTATAAGGATTATTTCAGACACTTTTTTTACAAAAAATTTACAAGACCCTCCGTAATGACCTGGGAGAACAATACCTAGAGCACCATCATGATCCATACTTCATTCTTAGCATTTAAGGGACACTCAAAGAATTAGACGATTTTCTCGTATGTGTTAGTACATGAATTTTTTGGTGATATGAATTTTGAACACTTTTTGCAAAAAAACTTTGCAGGATCCTTTGTAATGACCTACGGACCAATACCCACAGCTTCACCATGATCCACGTCATTTTTTTTTGCATTTAGAGGCCAGTCAACAAGAATTAGATTATTTTCTCAATTTTTCGTATGTGTTAACACATGAACTTTTTGGTGATATAAATTTTGAGCACTTCTTTTCAAAAACTTTACAAGACTCCCGTAATGACCCGGAGGAACAATTCTTGTAATCTCACCATGATCTACGCCACTTTTTTTAGCATTTAAGAGTCACATTATTCTCGTGATAATAGTTTAACTAATTAATCAATCTAACTTCAAAAACGAAAATCAAAGCATATGGGGATGATTCCCTTTTTTGCATTCTTTTCCCAAAATAGCAAAAGATCAGATATAACCATTATTATCAAAGAATAAATCGATACACTAGAAATTCAAACACCGTTATATCAAATTAAAAGAATGTAAAATTAATTCATTAAGCTTCGGAAACCATTGCAACATCACAACTTTGGAAAAATAAAATAAAAAATCACATAAAAAGAAACACAAGTTCACACCATCTCTTGTGAAAACTAAAGTCATAAATTGAGACAGAAAAGATAAAAAAACACTCCGGTTATTACCATATAAGGTAAATAAATTAATTTAGTTTCCACCACCAATGCCAAGACCTTTACCACCCAGCAAGCCGCCACCGAGTCCCATGCCACCATTTATATCATGGCCAAGACTTCCACCAATACCAATTCCGAAGCCACCTAAGCCATCACCACCACCACCTACGCCGCCTGCACCGAGCATGCGCCGCCCTAACACGTCAGCAGAAACCATAATGCCACTAAAAAGAACAATTAAGAGAACTATTCCAATAATACGAGCTGATGAAATACCCATTATATCTATTAATTGTAACTTTAAATCAAATGCGGACTAAAATATTTTTGAAAAATAGAAGAAAAAGAATGAGGAAATTAATAGTGAGATATATGAGAATGTACTTCTATGGACAAGTATATATAGTGTTAAATAGGTTTATTTTTTTATTCAATAATTGATTACAATATTAAGCATGTGTTAGGAAATGTAAAATATATAATTATGAATGATAAGATTACTTCCATGATGTTAATTCTTAGCAAAATATACACAATATTCATTAATCTATTACTTAATCATGATTAGAGGAGAATGCGTATCATTAATTAGGAATTAAGCAACGCACGATTGTAAATAAATAAAAATGTATTTTGTACTCATAGTGCCTTTCCATGAACTATATAGAGTTGGTTGTAATTTGGAATCGATTTATTCTAATTATATTATATACTTCATCAAAACAATATAAAAACCACTATAATTAATTATCGGATAGGTTATGAATATAGATCCCCAAATTTGTGGTGGAGGTGGTAATTAAATATCCCATCATTTTAACGGAATGTCTCATATTCGAAAGTGCATTACACCTCTCAAAAATGGATAATTTTAATGCGAGTCTGAATAAGTCAAGACCTAAAACAAACTCTTAACAAAAATACATAGTTGATGTGTTGGATTTTTATCCAAAGTACCCTTGGAAATAAGAAGGATGAAAAGTTCATAAAGTTATTTATTTGAAGAGAAGTTCATGAATATGATGTAAATGTCAATTGACGATTGTCTCGATATGGTTTGTGGAAAAAATATTAATAGTATTTTAGCTACCCGATGAAAATAGGAGTTCGGGTCGGGTACCCTAAGAAATATTAATAGTATTTCTTTCTTTTCCAATCACCTCGAAAATACATACGCTTAAAAAAGTTTTCGAGATTCTCATGAATAACTCTTTTAGTGGCACGTGTGTGTGCGGTGGGGAGAGAAGGGTATAGTGAGGGAAGGGAGTGAGATTAAGCCATGTCATTAGAAAAATAAGTTATTTCTATATTGCGTCAAGTTGAATATGAATAAATCAATGCAACCTCAAATAGAGAGATCAGACTACACCTTTAAATTGAGGCTATTAGCTATATAGAACGAACTAAGCCGCGATCATAAATTTTCTAATTAAGCTAGCTCATGCGGCCAAAATATGAGAAAAGACATGAAACATCAATTATATGTTATTAAGTTTGATTGAATGGTTGTTATGTATCGTATCGTATAATGAATGATTGTTACGTATCGTATAACTCATATCCAAAAACTAAGAAATTTCTTTAAAATGATATTTTTCTTTACTTGCATAACACGAACACAAAAAATATGTAAGAAGTTCATTTATTTTTTTGAAACGTACCGAATGACTTTCGACAAACTATGCAACTTATAACAAATTGTGTATAGGATTTATTAATAAAATGACAATTGTAATTAATTAATTTTCAACTGACATTAACAATATACATAGTTGTTTTAATCTCTATATTTCTGAAAGAATTACTGGCCAAAATTTTGGGCACATTATTGCTATGATTAATTTTATTTACAAATTAACAACAACATTCTATTATTTCATCACTAACAATTGTCTCTTTTAATGGATTAATGTTGATAACAACATTATTTTGACTACTTAAATTATCCTTATTGTCACTTAATTTATTTTCATTATTTGACAATATTTTTTTTGGTGATACTATTGCTTGTTCATCTTTTGATGGAGACAATATTTTATGATCCTTGCTTTTACCCCACAAGATTATGTAAAGGCCTATAATAATCACAACAACACCAAGTATCCTGCAAAATAAAAAAAATTAAAGCATTAAATATATAATATTTTTTGTAATTAAAATTATCTCAAAATGATTTCTTTTAGGTGTTGAAGTTGATTTTATGGGGGTTGAATTTGATAAAAATATCGTTAGTGTCTTTGATAATAAATTAGAGTAGAATAATTAACCTAAATAGATTTTCACCAAATCGTTTAAACTAAAAATAATCGACCAATGTATAATATGTGAATAATCATGTATAACTAGAGTAAGAACTATACATATCAACTAGGAAAAGTAAAGAGGAAATCCGATTGATTATTAGTGTAAAGATCGATCCCTTGATAAAAAGGTGTTGATAAACATTTTATTTTGGTTTCTAAAAATAGAATGATCCTAATAAATTATATATTTACAAAAGAATGTAAATTTAAAAGTATTTTTAGATTTATTTTTAAAATAACAATAATAACATATCCATTATAATTTCACAGGTGCAATTTGAGGAAGGTAGGATATACATAAACCTTATTACTCCTATAACTTTGTGAGGTAGAGAAGTTTCTGATAGATCATCAGCTAAAAAATGAGGATAAATGACTGAAATAGAATAAGGAGATAATTAAAACTTACGTCTTAAGAAAAGTATTTTAAAAAATACAAAAGATGTTAAAAATAAAATTATAAAAAATTTGATCAAATTAAAAGTGTTTATAAGTCGAATTTACGTACCTTCCAAGGTTCATTTGTTCTTGTAGAATAATTGAACTTATTATAGCTACGATTAATATGTTTAATGGATTGAAGGCTGAGATAAAAAGTGAGCTTCTATCTTCCAATATTACTCCTTGGATGTAATATGCTAGCCCCGAACCAAATATTCCCTGAAATAATAGACATTTTTTATAATAACATTTCATTACGATGATTAATTTTTTTTCGACCTGATTTTTTATGTTAACTATCAATAGTTAATCGAGGTAATGATCAAAAATACATTTAAACTAGTAAGTATTTGTGAGTTTCACATTTTAACTATTATTTATTTTCTTTTCCTCTCTAAACTATTACCATCTATGTATTAAAAACATACCATAACTATCAGTTGATCCATTTTTCCTATTTGGACGATGACTATAGTTCAAATAAGAAAAGAGAACAACTGATAGTTGAGGTGTGTTAACTCACTACTAGAAATAAAGACTTATACATCCATTTTCTATCGAACCAACTCACTGGAAAAACACATGGTGGGGAATAAATTCTCATTGAAATGCTAAGACGCTTTCTAATTTTTTCGTATGGAATTAAAAAATTGTAGTTTTTCTTTTCTCACCAATTCAATCAAAATATCAGCATGAACAACCACTAGACATTTTTTAACGAGGAAATAGTATTTTCTGAGTAATGAATATATAGATAGTGATAGTTCAAGTAGAAAAAAAGAAAAAACTGATCATAGCTGAGATGTGAAACTCGCAAAAAAATATTTAACCGTTCGAATATGTTTTTGATCATTAACTCTAGCTAATATCTATTCTTTTTAAAACAAAAAACAACAAAGTTTGAGGGCTTACACTGTATACAACAGCAAGAAATTTGGAGTCCCAATTTATGATCCAAACTGCACTATTCCCTCTTTCCATTATCATTGCCATAATACCTCCCTCAATTGTTCCCAACAAGCATATCCAAGTATGGAGTGAGAGCTCTGCTGGATATGTCTGCAGTATCTTTGTCTACACAAATCGAGTATATACAGTCAAATCTCTATAACAGTCATTCTTTAAAATAACATTTCAGTATAACAATCAATTTATACATCTTTGCCTACGACTCGAGAATTATATACTGTCAGATTTCTCTGTAACAATCATTCTCTATAATAACATTTCATTATAACAATCAATTTATGAATTTCGTCATAAATTGTAACAAACATCTTTGTCTACAACTCAAGAATATACCGTCAGATTTCTATGTAACAGTCATTCTCTATAATAACATTTCATTATAACAATCAATCTATGAATTCCGTCATAAATTGTGACGTACATCTTTGTCTATGCATGACTCAAGAATATACCGTCAGATTTCTTTGTAGCAGTCATTCTCTATAAAACACTTCATTATAACAAACAATATATGAATTCCGTCATAAATTATGCATGACAGACATCTTTGTCTATGACTCGAGAATATACAATTAGATCGTTCTGTAATAATCATTCTCTATAATAACATTTCATTAAATTATACCTGCAAAATTATGAAGCCGGCCCCACTAGTACACCCAAGCATTATCATGAGGGAACCTTTGATTGCATCTATTGGATTAATCCCACCACTAATTTGATCAGATGCATCATTATTATTGACATAATAATCATCTGTTGGAAATAGTTGAACCTCTGGGCCTCTAACTAACATCATAATCATGGCTCCACCAAGTGTAGCAATAGTCCCAATTATTTTGAGTTGGCTCCCAATACTAGTAAAATTTACCTTCTCCTGCCTAGGATATATGCAACAAAATATACATATGCACATATTAGAAAATTTATCAATAACATATGAGAATAATAATATAATCAGTGTAATTCAACAATCTGAAGTATAGGGAAGGTGTTGTGTATGCAGCCTTATCCGACTCCTACCTTTTGAAGGTAGAGAGGCTAGGCTAGTTGTTTTCAATAGACCCTTGCCTCAAGTGAAGAATTGAGAAAACATTACTAGAAAATGTGGAATTAGCTATGGAATTTGTCGGTAATTTTTAGCTAGTTCGTCGTTGAAAAGCTTCTAGGTAATATAATTTTCTTATAATCCATCGTTAGATGAAATTAACATGTGATTTTTGTTGTTTAGCAATGGAAATTCTATCTATCGTTAATTATTCCTTTTTTTTTCCAGTAGTGAAATAATGGAGACAAGAACACAGTAGCAACTACAAATAGTATGATAAATAAAGCAAGGGAAACAACAGATAATAATAAAATTGAAGAATAAATACAATAGTAAGATAATAATAAAATTGAAGAATAAAAATACAATAGTAAGAGAATTACTAATATTACTACGGATAAGGGAAACTAAACAATGCATGCCTAGACCACCTACCTATTATCCTTCTATCCTGATACCCAACTTTCATATCCTCCTATCTAGGGCATGTCCTTGACAAACAAATTTATCATCAATATAGAATAAAGTCTGTGTATACTCTATCCTCCGTAAAATCAATTTTTTTTTCTGTAAGATTTTCAGCTTACTCGAAAGGAATTTCTAAACCAAAATTAATGAGACAATATATTGCATGTATATTCTAATTAATTACCTGAATATCCAGGACATTATGAAAGTAATGGCAGGAAGAGTATTGTACATTGCAGCTGCAAATGTTGCTGTTGTATATTTCAAGCCAAGAGAATATAGATTTTGGTCTATCACTGGCCTGTTCATACACAGAAAAAAAAAACAATGTTATAACATATACGGAAGAATTGATTTTTTAGGTCACTTATAATTTTTAAATTTCTTTTATCATCTTTTTTACAAGAAATTTTCATTTTTACACGTAAGAAATTTGATAAAGTCATTTTCTTTTATTCATTTTGTAAATGGCCCTTTTACAAAAAAATTTACCCCTTTACAAAATAAATAGAAGAAAATGATCATTTCAGATCAGTTATATAAGGTATATGATTTTATTATTTTTAAATGAAAACTATAAGTGGACCACAAAATCAATTCTGCCGATTAATATAATTATATATTGCACTAAGAAAATAAAATAAAGTTTTTGAGACTTACTCCAATATGCTAAGAAGTACCAACTTGGCAAATATTGAAAAAGTCATCTTTGGTCTTTTCCCCCTGTTGTAAGAGACATTCAACTTGTCAATCATTTGTGTATATTGAGTGGCTAATCATACATATTAGTTCTTCAAGATATATACACATATTTATTCAACAGTTTTTTTTAAAATTTTTTTATCGGGGATCGAATCATCCCCTTTTTATTCATCGTTAGTATAAATAATTTTTATATCTATCAAGTTTCCAAGGAAAATTGATGTTATATATAACAAGTAAAAATAACCAGATGATTGCAACTTCAATTCATTTGCATTTTAAATTCTCTTAGTAAATTTTTTGGGTAAATCCACTCCAATGCAATATTAATTCGCAGACCATATAGGAGATGTAAAATCATACTAGACAAATCAAGTACGATGAGTTTGACTAAGAAGACATTGACAGGAGGAATCAATCCCTAGCCTCCCTTATGGGATACCACCTACTACACCAATTCACTCAAAAGCTCACAAGTTACATAGGAGATGTAAACCGCACTCAACAAGTCCAGTGCAATGAGCTCGACTAAGAAGACATTGACAGGGGGAATCTATCCCTAGCTATCTTTCCTTATAGGATACCAACTGCTACACCAACTCAGTCAAAAGCTCGCAAATTTCACATGAAATGTAAACAACACTAGGCAAGCCCGGTGCGGACGAGCTCAACTGAGAAGGCGTTTGTAGAGGGAATTGATCCCTAACCTCTATTATGAAATGCCACCTGCTACACCAATTCAGTCAATAGCGCACAAATTACACATGAGGTGTAAACCGCACCAGGCAAGCTTGGTGCGACGAGCTCAGCTAAAAAGGCGTTGGCAGAGGGAATCAATCTCTAACCTCTATTATGAGATACCACCAGCTACACCAACTCAATCAATAGCTCACAAATTACACCTGAGGTGTAAAGCGCACCGGTGTAACAAACTCAACTAAGAAGGCGTTGACAGGGGAAATCAATCTCTGACTTCTCTTATGAGATACCACCTGCTACAACAATTCAGCCACCCCCACTAGTTTATAGAAATGAAAATGCAAACACAATAATTGAACATTGGAGAAGAGAGAAAGAGGATCTACTTGTCTAGAAAAATTGCAAAAGGAGCCATGAAAAGAGTTGCAACAGCTTGTCGATATACAACATATACATAATTGCTAGATCCTTCATTCAAGGCCATTTTTGAAAGGATATACATTCCTGAAAGACCCAATTGGAGAAATACAACAGCAAAAAAGGGTTTTGCTCTGATTAATATTTCTTTCATTATAATAAGATTTCAAGTTTAATCAACTTGCACAATGTATATATGTTATTCAATATATATACATATTGAATACTTCTTCTAACTATCTATTTTTTGACTTGCACAAAATCTTTATGATTTCATTCATGCGCTCAATATTTTATTATTTGTAAGACTTTACATTTTCTAAAAAATTGTATAATTTGTTCACACACATTTTTATTTTTGTTTAAAACAAAATTAGGGGCGGTGGAAAGGGAAATGAGACAGGGGATTACAAAGGTAGGTTCTATGGAAATTAAAACTCGAGACTCTTTAGAATTGTGAGTTTCTAATATAACGCACGATTTTCTTCAAAATTCATTTTTTAGTCTGAGAATTGAAATCTCACCAACAAAGTGAAAGTTCAGGTAGTTAATCAATTGAGCTACTAAGAATTCTCAAATTCAGGTAGTTAATCAATCGAGCTATTAAGAATTTCGTACACCAACAATTTCAATTTACGTGACACTTTTTTTTAGACTACTGTGATACTTCTTCAATTTCAGCCTCTTGAAACTCTAATGCTAGCTGTTAAAGCTCAAGTGCGAAAAATCGATTTATCGTAAATAAGCTTCATTTGTGGGTGATATCTTAAATGAAAAGGAATGTCTAGGGGAGTTTGAATCTAATTTGGAAATTTGAGCTATTTTTTTACTCAATTTCAATCATAGTTCGTTGAAGTTTAAAATTACAGTTGAATTGTATCACAGTTATTTTATATTATAATTATATACTGAATTTGTATGAAAATTATATTTTAGGTTTGCATATTGCAGTAGTTGTATTAAATCTATATGAATGTTGTATACAAAATTGTAATAAGTATACTTGTTATAAATCATAACAAATTTTAAAACTTTTTATTTCTTTTTCAAGCTTTGTATTCAGTCAAAAAATATTACATTAATTGGGATATATAGACGAAGTATTTTATTACCATGTGAAGAATCTATTATTAGTTATTAGTTTCTATTTTATTTTTCTTTTGACAAGCTCAAATGTTCTTGAATTAGTTTGGCACGTTCATAAAAATATTCTTACTTCTTTGATATTCAAAAAGTATATTCTTATTTTGATATAATAATTGTTCCTTTCTATGATAATATCTCATGGATATTAATTAATTTCTTATTTAGGAGTGTCAATGATACGATCCAGTCAGTTTTTTAAAAATAAATTTATATTATTTTAATTTATAATTATTTTATTTTATATAATAAATTTATTTTATTTTAATCATGAAAGACAATATGTTGTTTTAGAGCTAGGAATTTGGCTGTTAATTATATGTTGGTTTATATATATATATATATATATATATATATATATATAAGGGTGCACTCTTCCTTGAAAACAAAATATGGACAATGTCAACTAACAATAACATTATTATAGTATAATTGTATCAGTGTGACAATAACAACATATCCAAATATGCAATGTATACAATCTCACGAATTAAAGTGGGGTCTAAAAAGAGTACAATGTATATAGATCGTATTTCTATTTTAGGGGCGAAGTAGAAAGGTTATTTAGACCAAATGACTCTTTAAAATTACGTTGATATTTCTACATATTGTGAATAATGTAGGAGGCATCTCTATATTTCCCCTAGGGAATCTTATAACTTCCCGTGCTTAACTTTCAATTTGTCAGTGGCGATCAAATGAAATGTGAATAAGTCCTCCTCTCTTTTAAAGCAGGGGCGCTTCTGGTTCTATCGTTGCTTGAAACAATTGTCTTTTCCATATTACTAAATCGTAATGATCATACATATGGAATGCATTGTATGTCCCATTCTTCTACTCTTTCTCGAAAGTTGATGACTATTCATAGCTATTATCTTGACACCAAAGAAGAGTTTGATCCAATGCTTTATTTCTCTCCTAGTTGATCATGATTTGACATTAGAAGTATATTGATTTTTCCCCAATAATTGAATACTTTTATATGTAAATACTGCATATTTGACCCATCCATAAATCGATTTTCCCCCCTATAAGTTATAGTCTCAATAAGAATGCTAGTTTTTACAGTTCATATATTGTGATATGAATATACCACATCGTTCATTAATTAGACAAGACTCACGTGATGTTCTGCTCATGGAATAGAGATAGACCCTTGACTCAAGACAAAAAACAGTCTAGAAAAAAATGTAATAAAAGTAAAAAAGACAATAGAAAATAACAAAAATGACAAATAATATCAATATGAATGATAAAAAAAAAAATACTTTCATGATCTTAGGCAGATATTTCTATCATTGAATGTATAATTATGGAATTGTGAAACTATTGCACGATATGATAAAACAATATTTTTGTACTCATGATGGTTTACCATGAATTGTATGTACTGTCAATTGGTTATATTTGATCAACAAATTTAATATTTTATGTGATTTCACATATTATTTTCTATCAATTCATAAGAATATTTCAAAAGATAATAGTCAAAAATAAGATTTTCTGTTATTGAGCATGTGTTAGAAAATGTGAATTAATTATACCATTCTACATTGCAAAATGATACTACATTATACTATATGTGATCTCTTCAACTTTGACTATTATTGTGACATATAATATATAATAATATAGATTGAATATTTCCCCTATACTGATTTTCTTTATGAATATAGAAAAGAGATTTTTATGATTTCCTCTATCCATATGGAATTAATTTATGTCTATAAGAAGTGATCAAAGATCGTTAACAACAACAACAACAATAATTTATATATATATATATATATATATATATATAT